AAACAATGACTATATATTTTTACAAAAGATACAAATTAATTTTTGCCTTTAAAAAATATAGGTCCTAGGACCAGGTATAGTGGTACCGGCCTGTAACCCCAGCTATTTGGGAGAAAGAGGAGGAAGATCTCGGATAGAGGCCAGCTAGGGCAAAGTTAGCCAAGACCCTATCTGAAAAACAAAAAGACTGGAGGTGTAGCTGGTTTAGAGGACCAGGAATCCACAGGAAAGGCTCTTGTCTTTTTTACAGGTAAGTTAACATGATGAAATGAATACTACCTAAATTATACTCAAATGACAAGATATTGTAATTGAAAGTACTCAGCAAATCCCTACTCAACATGAGCTATAATTGATGGCCCGAAGGCTGGTCAGGGCAGAGGTGGATGCTGAATTCGTTCTGATTTCTGCACAGGCAGTTAGGGTCCCACCTTCAATCCTAGGCAAGCTTAGTGCTCTGATCAGCTAGCAAGACAGCTTCTACTAGTTCTCCATTTTAGGAACCTCTGACTAAATGATATACCACTGCATAAAATGCAAATATATGCTTGTATGTGATGTATTATATGTACTTTCTATGAAATGAAATTTTATAATAATTATGAAAATACTGGGTAAAACCAAAATGCTTTATGAAACTGAAGAGCTCTGATTAAGCATTTTTAATATGTTCCTTTTTAGGCCAGTAGATGTAGCTGTGAATTAAGAGAGAAAATATAGTCACTTTCATCAAGCTGTTCAAAATCGGCCACTAGATGGCACCTTTTTTTTTCTTTTTGGAGAATTAAATTTATAGCAGGGATTTAACAGAATTCAAGATAGCTACCAACGACTGGGCACTGAGCAGATTTTGATTTACCTGCATTTACTTAGAAGTGACCATCTCACCTATCTCTTGGGTGCATAGACTTGGACCATTTCTGATACCGTTGTCCTTAGTCATACGTAGAAAGATGACATTTCCCCAAAAAAGCCAGTACTTCCTGCACTCAGGTCATCATTAAAAACCCTCATTCTGCAGGAACTCTAAATGCAGAGCTGAAATATCCCATGGTGTTCTCTTCAACCCATAAATACCTACTCTATAAATAATAAAAAAGGTAAAAACATTTTTTAAAAGTCGCTTTTTTTTTTTTTTTTTTTTTTTGCAGTACTGGGGTTTGAATTCCAGGGCTTTGAGTTTGCTAGGCGTGTACTCTACCACTTGAGCCATACCCCAGCCCTTTTTTGTTTTAGTTGTTTTTTTTTTCAGATAGGGTCTTGATTTTTACCTGGGACCGCCTCTGGATCATGATCCCCTTTCCTATGCCTCCTGCATGGCTGGGATTACAGGTGAGAAACTCCATGCCAAGTTTATTTGTTGAGATTGGATCTTGATAACTACTTTTTGCCCCTGGGGGTCATGAACTTCAATCCTCCTGATCTCCACCTCCTGAGTAGTTAGGATTACAGGTGTGAATCGCCACGCCAAGCAAAGTTACTGCTCTTGAGTAACATGTAAATAACTGTAAATGAATGGTTTCTGCTTTTTCTTCCACTATTAGGGAATAAGCTCGGAGCAGGGTGGTAAGAGTTTGCTAGGAAAGGCAGCAAGGAAGGCGTGGATAGCAAAGCCTACTGGGGAGCCCTCTCTGGCTCAAAGTAGGCCCACAAATGACTTCTGAATGAACAAAATGACAAATTAGTAAACACTACTGCCTGTAAAAATACCCTTAAAAAGGTACCAGTGGGTTCATTTTTCTGACAGACTTCTCAGGTATGCAGATCAAACTGATATGCCCACTGAACTATATGTACAGAGGAATGCATTTGCAGTCTCTCTTTTCAGTTAGACATGAAGATTTTCTCTCTCTCATCTTTCTTTTGTACTGGGATTTGAGCTCTGGGCTTCACACTTGGAAAGGGGATAGATGGCCTACCACTTCAGTCAAACCTCTAGTCTATTTTTCCCTGGTTATTTTGGAGATGGGGCTCTTGAACTATTTGCCCAGGCTGGCCTCAAACCATGATCCTCCCAATTTCAGCCTCTCAAATAGCTAGAATTACAAGTAGTGAGTCACCAGCACCCGGCTAGTCTTACATTCAGTATGGCTCAGAACATTTTTTTTTTTTTGCTCCAAGTATTTTATTTAGGCAATAATCATCTTATTAGTGCCACAAAACACATTCTAGAAACTAAAATAGCAGTTTAGCCATAAAATCAAATTCCCATGTGTATAATAACTTAATTTTGTTGGTCTATGAAAATTTAGATTCATTCATATGACTTTTAAATCAAAGAGTATTCCTATTTTCATACCCTAAAATTTTACTCAGTTTATGACCTACAGTACTGAACACTGGCCATAAGGACAGTCAATCCTATGCACTGTAAAGGCTGTCATTTTCACAGAAATGAGAAGCTTAATAACATTACTAAGTGTTTGCATTCCTTCCCCCTTCTCCCCCTGTAGATTTCATACTAGTCAGGGACATTTTAGAAACTCTTAGGCAAGTGTGCTTTATTTTCAGTACAAATTAAAAAAAATAAAATCTTGCACATTAAAAAAAAAATATTATCCTTATGGTAGTGTTTCTAAGAAACATATAGGAAAACAAAATAAAAAATTCACCCATATGCCCAAAATTTATTCACATATTTCTGTCTAACATTTTTCCTCCTGGTTTTTCATTTGTTTTTACATACCCGCTCTCCTATTATATAGAGCTACGAATCTTGTTTTTCACTTACCACTATACCCTAAACACTTTTCTACTTCAGATAGCAGCTTAAAAGGACTTTTCTTCTATGAGAAAAGAATGGCCAGTTCTCTACCACACCAATGTCAACGCCATGCTGACAGATGAGGCCCTCATTGAAGATACCCAGAAAAGCTTGGCACATTATCAAGAACTGTGAGGACTGGGTCACAATCAAGAACAAATACATTACCGCCATCCCTTCCATCTACTTTACTGCCTGTCTTAGCTAACAGAGGTAAACTTGGGGAAAAAAAAAAAAAAAAAGACCTAGGTCCTAAGTAGTCAGACCTGAGTTCAAAGCTTGACTCCCAGTCACAAGGCTATGTGATCCTATGCAGTGACTTATGTATGCTCTCTGATTCTCAACTTCTCACTTATAAAATGGGGGATGTTGATATCATATCATCTAGTCTGCTATGTCTAAAATGTCTGGTACCATGCCTGAAATGTGAGAAAAACTGAGGTGATTATCAACAATCACAAAAATCTTCCAGTGCTAGGCTTTCTAAGGAATCACTAATTTATTCTTACAAATGATGACTAGCCAAGAAAGTTACTTTAAAAATAAAGATCAGCCCAGGTTTGGTGGTGCACGCCTATAATCAGCTATGAGGGAGGCAGAAACAGGAGAGTGATAGTCTGAGGCTGGCCCCAGCAAAAAAGCCCAAGACCCTACCCGAAAAATAAAATAAAGCAAAAAAGCTGGGGGTGTGGTTCAAGTGGTAGAGTGCATGCCTTACCACTATCTCGAGGCCCCATGTTTAAACCCCAGTACAACCAAAAAAATAAAATAGGTTGGTCAGACTAGGAAAGAAGTGCTATCTTTTGTCTATCAGTATGTTCTGAGTGAAAAGTGTAACAATGCCCACTCTTAGTCAGTACTAAACTAAATGTGGAAAAACCTCTTTATTTTTAAGGTTGCTCTAGCAATTCCCCACTTCCTCAGTTTCTCCCTCTCTATTGAATCACTTCCATTAACATATACATGCTGTTAATTCTCCACATTAAAACAAACAGAACAACTCTCTTACCCTAGTCCTCCTTCTAGCTACGACTTCATTTCTTTCACTTAATAGCAAAACTCAGGATCTGTTTCCAATTGCTGTCCTTTATTCTTTTCTGAATCCATTCCACTCAGGCCTTCTACCACCATTTCACTAATGACAGCCACACTGCTAAACTCAGGAAATACTCAGTGCTCATAGTATGTGACTTCTCACCAGCAATGCAACGCAGTTGTTTCCCCCTGAAATGATCATCACTCCAAGTCACCATTCTGGTTTCCCTTGTACCTCTCTGGTAGGGAGATCTTTGCTACTTTCTCCTCCCAAGATCTTCCTCAGAACTCTTCTCTTTCTTTCTCTACCCTTACAGCCTTGGTGAATGCATCTGGTCTCATGGCTTTAAACACTATTCGTATAGTTTTGAGTCTCAAATTTGTATTTCCACCTTGAACCTCTCCCTGAATTCCAACATTCTATCATCAAACTGCTTACGTGACTTTCCATGTGGCTAGCTAACAGACATCTCAAACTCACAAGTCCCAGACTGAGCCCCTGATGTTATCTCCAGTGCCTGCTCCTCTCACACTGCCCTCATCCATCTTCCAGTTGCTCAGGCCAAATCATGGAGACATCCTTGACTTCACTTTCTCTCTCACACCCCACCTACAATAAATCCTTGACTACTCCACCTTCAAAATACATCCAGAGCCTTTTTTCATCAATCCTACCACTGCCACCTATTCCCGACAACAACCCATCCTGAGCTGTCATGAAGAGCATGGTCCACACAGCTTCTTACCAATTGTTTTTAAAAATGTTTTTTTAGTTTGGGGCATACATTTTATACACATACACACACACTTAGGCTTTTAGAATTTTTTCCAATAACATGCAACCAACATATTAATAACAAATAATTCACTTTAAAATGCTTTAACTATTTTACAAGGATGTTTATGAATGCCAAATGGCATAGAAAGTTGTTCAAATTAATAATTTTATAAACAAGTAGCTAACATCAATATACAGAATGAACATTACCTATGAATTAGTCATTAATTACATTTGAAACACTTAAACCAGTGACTTCTGACATACTAGAGTGACAAGTTGCCTACATACTAGAAGGAATTTAGTCTCATTCTCTGTTATCCCTTCCTAGACAGAGACCAAACTATATGCAAATGTGAAAACTGGGTAAGTTTAGATAGCAGAAAGTAGGATAAACAGCCAGTTAAGACCGTAGTTACTTACACTGTGTGCTCCTAAAGCTTTCCAGACTGCAAAGCTGATCACGCCAACCCCACACCAGGCATAGAGTGAGCCCCAGCCCAGGGCTCGCAAGGCAAGGGAGGACCCACTCTCTGGTAAGGCAGCTGTGGCCATAGTTCCCTGAAATGAACACAGAAAGGCCTGGTAAAACAATCAGTTAGGAAGGATAAACACCTGGAAGTATTTGGCATGAATTAGAGTACTCTCTACATTAAGTAACTCTCTACGTTAAGTAACTCGACATTGGGAGCTGAGCTGAGCCCAGCCCAGCCCAGCCCAGCCCCAGGCCAAATAGCAGCTTTGCTACTACCACCAGCGCACGACTTCTCTGACCAACAGGCACTGTGCCTGTTAATCTTCCAGAAAAACCTTAGAACATTCCATCAAGATATTTCTATCCCTCATTCATTGACATTTTCATCAGAATAACATGAATTAGCTAATTTAATAAGAGAAGCAAATTTATAACATCCAATATTCACAATAGAATCTTAATTTTGCCTAACTTAGATGTTTTAAAAAACAGATACGTGTCATGTTTGTGCGATATCAGTCTCATAAATGGATTGAGATGAAATGAAAATTAGTTATCATTAGCTATTGTCTACATACTCCCAAAAGTGAACTTTAGAAGCATGACATTAAACATTAATCTGTCCTTAAGTTTTAAAATGTCTAGTTACATGTTTTTTACTCTGGGGGAAATTATCAAATGGCATTCAAGTCTTATGTTCAAAATTTTCAATATAATTTTGGCTGATTTGCTGTAGGAAGATTTGATTTGTCAAAAAAAAGATCTTTAGATATAGCCACAATATATACATATATATATTATATATATATTTTTAATGCTACATTTCCCTCCACATTATTTTTAAAATTTAAACTAAAATCAAGGCATCTGTATTTGGGAACTGTATTTAACAAATCACACTACAATTATGGGACTTAGTATCCCTGAGGTAAAACAGAAAAATTACTTTCTAAATGAAACCTCTGCATTTATAATACCTATATACCTGAAGACATTGGTACCACTTTATCTTCTAGCATTTACGAAGTACCCTTTGAGAAAGGGGGAGACAAAAATTAATCTATTATTCACATATGTATGAAGTGCCAAGAGCAAACTGCTCATTTGTCAGAGGTCAACTGCATAACTATGAATAATTTTCATATTTTTAGCTGTTTTCAGTATAACCCTGGGATTAATGTAAGTCAAACAGATTTGGAAAAACATTTTATCTAGTTATGTCCTCTATAAAGTATTCTTATCTGATAAAATTTTGATGTGTTTACATCATTAAAGTAACTTTTTATAATATATGTAATATACTTTTTTTTTTTTTGGTGGTGGTGGTATTGGGGTTTGAACTCAGGGCCCTCACGCCTGCTAGGCAGGTGCTCTACCACTTGAACCACTCCACCAGCCCTATCTACTATACTTTTTAAAAGACTTATTTTTATTTCTCAGAAGTTATAGCTTTATCAAAAAGATGACAACTTACTCTTTTTATCTATTCATTACATACACAGGTACTGAAACAACTCTGCTATTCAATTGCCACACATTAAGATGATGGTACACACTTAAAATTCAAGCTACTTAGGAGGTGAGGCAGAAGGACCTCTCATTCAAAGTCGACTCAGGCAAAATTAGCTGAGACCCTACCTCAAAAACAGAATACAAGCAAAAGGTGGGCATGTGTGTGGCTGAAGTGGTGCAGTACTTGGTAAAAATGCACAAGGCCCAGGTTCCAACACCCATTACCAGAAAAAGAAAAAAAAAAAGATAAACAAGCGTACAGAATGACTTCAGTTATATCAACTTTCATATCAATTTTATGTATATACATTAATTATTTTCTTCAGTTCTTTTAGCCAAAGAGATATAAAATGTGCACATAATTTTTACTGATAGCACATCATTTAGTCTCACAATCATTTTATAAAACTGGTATGTGAAAATTACTTGTTTAAAAGAAAGATCTTGGAGGGCTAGTAATGTAGCTTAGTGGTAAAGCATGTGCAAGGCTGTGGATTCAATCCCTGTCACCATAAATAAATAAAATCTTGGTCTATTTTAAGAGATCAAAGAAACTTAACAGTGAACAATAATTCACTTATTCACCTTATTTTGCACCTTCCTCTTTCTGCTTATTCAAGGAATTACAAAGAAAATGTATGTTCACTCAGCACTTACTGTTGCTTCTTCAACTCCGTTTTCTAGCAGAAGACCCAACAAAGACAATGAAAATAAGACACTAAAGGAATGACTAATCTCTTCAAACAGAAGCAGTGTGGACAGCCCCCAAAGTCCGATTGGGTTGTAACTTGAATCTCAATCTGTTATAATCAGTACTAAGATTCCCAAGCTAGTAGACACTGTATTTAAGTATCAATATTGATAAAAGAGGTATGTATCATTTATTCCCTAGAAAAAACAAAGATGGAAAGAATACCATGTTGGGCAAGTTGCTATATCCATGTGTGCCTCAGTTTCCTGCTCTTTAATGGGAACAAATGCAGTGACAGTGCCTCACAGGGCCGTGTGTGGGTTATATGAATAAAGCCCTCAGAAGAGCAGTGAGCATGTGGTAAGCACTCAGATGTTAGATGCTGTAATTATTATTGTGGATGTCAGGGAAGACCTCCAGGTGGTGACTTTGTAGAATACAGATTGTTCTTGAATTGGCACTTGCTCAATTGTAAACTCAGTACCAAGTGCTCTAGAACCTGAGTTCTTCTATAAACCATTCACCTCTCAGCGTCTGGGTTAAGTAGTGATGCTCTAGTTTCAATGTTTCCCAGAGGAAGGCATATTTAACCATTCAGAACAGTGGTTCTCAGACTTTCAATCTCAGAATCCCTTTACAATTGGGCCCCAAAGATGTTCAGTTATGTGGGTTATATATCAATATTTAATATATTAAAAATTAAAACTAAGAAATTTATATTTTATTACTCATTTTAAAATAGCAAATTCATTTATATACTAATATAAATCTGCTTATGAAAAATAACTTTGCTTCAAAGCAAAAAACAAATACTGCAAAGGCAGTGCTTCACATTTTCATTAATCTTTTACATGTCTAGCTTAATAAAAGATAGTTGGATTTTCATGGCTGCTTTTGTTTCAAGCTGTTGCAAAACGTTTTGTGTGTCATTTTTGTTGAAGCATATGAATAAACCTGGCTCACAGAGATATATGGTTGGAAAAGGGAGAAGTATTTTAATAGCTTTCCTCTTTCTTAATACACCAACACTGGACAAGTAGCTTCTTAAAGGTTAGTTGCCATGTGAAATTGGAAGTCATGTCAATTAGTTTTTCTGTAATTTTTACATTGAAATCCACTTGTCTATTTTGCACTTTGAATGGACTTTTTAATTCCACTCATCATGATCAAAGATAACAGTCGACAACGTAATACAGATCCTTCAGTTGCTGAGGCCATTTGTGAAATAGTATTTAAAAAACACCATCAATATCACATAAAATCTCATCAGAAAAGCTGTTAAGTATGAGCATCTGTCAAGCTCATGTCAGGAGATATGTTTTCTAAAACCTAATTTTCACTTGAAAGTTTGAATTTTATGAGTGGAAATAAAGACTAACAATGGCTTAAAGAGACAGGCTCATTTTTGTTAATTTTTAAGAAAATGCCTGCCAAATACCCACTTATGAGTAACTGAAATAATTTTTCAGGTTTTGGGGTTTTTTTTTGCAGTACTGGGGTTTGAACTCGGGGCCTCATGCTTGCTAGGCAGGTGCTCTACCGCTCAAGACACACCTCCAGCCTTGTCAGTTGTTCTTGCAAGTAAAAATACTATTATATTGAGGGGAGAGTGGCTAGTTTGGCTTGAACTCAACCATATAACTGTAATTTAAATGTGGTCTCTTGTCATTACAGTATTCGTAAGGCTTAAAGATGATTATTGAAGTGGAAAGGGAATGCAAATGGCTTCTGATTTTTCACATAATACTCTTCCTCCATATCACACATCAAACTGTAATCGCATAGTTATTTGTGTGATTATTTAATATGTGTCGCCCATAGGAGACACGAAGGTTTCCAAGGGCAGATGTGCTATTCATTTTTATATCCCTTGCACCTAACTAGTACAGTGCCTCCAGCCCTGTCAGTTGTTCTGACACACAAAAGATCCCAAGTAAATATCTAGTAAAGCAATGAGGTAATGAATAAATAAGCCTAATGGGGTGGGAAGACACAGACAGGACAAAACAAGAACAAGTAACTATAAGTAAGCATGAATTACTACATGAATTTTTCAACAGCCAGGAAAAGGAGATACCCCACATCAGACAGCAAATGTTCAATCTTGCTTATAGAGTAAGAATTTTGTTATAAAGTTACAGTCACTCAATCAAAGTTTACTGAGTACCTACTATGTGCCAGTTGCTTTGCTAAGGAGTGATGCTGCAACAGTACCTGGCCCCTGTGTTCAGGAAGCTGATATGTTTTTCACTGATACTAAAATAACTTTAACATTTTAACATCTTGAAATAGAGATTCCTCTTGCAATCAGTATCAAAAGTTTAACTGTTTTTCTTCCTAAATGGCATACAAAATATTGGTGTCTCTTATTTCTAATAGTGAATTAACTAGATTGAAAGTCATGCTGTAAGTGAAAAATGTGCCAAAAAAACTTTCAAAGTCTTGTTCTGCTAAAATTTAAGAAAGCACAGTTAGCTGGGCACCAGTGACTCATGCCTATAATCCTAGCTACTTTGGAGGCTGAGATCAGGAAGATCAAGGTTCAAGGTCAGCCCAGGCAAACAGCTCTTGAAACCCCCACCACCATCTCCAAAATAACCAGAGCAAAATAGACTGGTGATGTGATTCAAGCGAAGCCCTGAGTTCAAACCCTAGTCCCCCACACACAAAAAGCACATAATTAAGTACTTTCTAAAAAGTAAATAAAGATCATCAACTAACTTACACACTTCTTAAATTTATGAAGTGTATGTATACAGGTTTTCTTCTTAAACCGATGTATGAAAGGCTATCACTATTTTCCTCTGCAAAAAGCTGCCACTTATTGTAAACAACAGCACTGCTGTGAATGGATTTCGGAGTCACAAACCTTATTGAACCACTCAGGGCTTTTCTTTTTAGCCATTGACAATGTTGTAAGAAATCCAGCTAGCATTCCCGCCGTGGCCACAGAACCAAGGAAAAATCCACCTGTCAAGAGTTTGAGGAAGGAGAGATTAAAACAAAACAAAACAAAACACGTGATGTCAAAAAGATGCACATGGGTAGACTCAAAACCTTTTAAGCGACACTCAAAATTGTGTTTGAAGTGAGAGAAATCGTGGCTAAACAGCTCCTGCCTAAAACAAACGGCAGGAGTTGGGAAACGTGCGTGACCTCAGGACCTCTGACTCGCGGGGGTCATTCGGGCGGCGGCGAGAAGTCTCTCCAGGGAGGGAGGGGAGAGATGGTGGAAATCGCGTGGATGAAGGGATCGCGGATCTACCGCCAGCCACGGGAGACTCCAGGGCGCGCGACCCCACGGGCGAGGCCTCTCGGGGCGGATGTGTCCGGCAGTATCCATCCCAACGGGAGCCAAGCCTCGGGGGAACTCGCAGCTCACCGTCCCGTACCTTTAACCAGGAAAAGCCGGTCTTCCGTGGGCCCGGGAGCCTCCAGGGGAGCCGCGAGCTCCCCCACTCCAGAGCCCTCATCGCCCATTTTCACGTCTCCACGACTGCGTCCCTCACCAGCCGGGCCCGGGTAGGACGAGAGCAGACCGGAGGAGAAAGGTTCCGCTGCTGCCTCCCCTTGTGCAACCTCAAGACGGGTCCGGAGTACGGCGGCGGTCCCCAAAGCTCACACCTCCGCACTCCCAGAGCGGGAAGGCGCTGCCCGCAGTGCCCCCACCCCAACGCTATCCCCCAGGACGCTCTCCCTTGGAGGATCACAGCCTTCTGCAAGGTGATGCTCGCCGGACTTTGATGAGTATTCTGTCCTCCTGAAAGCATGCTCAGCCCTGACTCTCGGAGGCAGTCGTAGATTGAGCCCTGAGCTCAGTCCTAGCCTGGGTTGAGCCCTCGAGCTCAGTTTCCTGATTAGCCTGGCACTGGTCAAAGGAATTGGCTCCCGCGAACATGCCGCATTCTAAAAAGCAGGCCTTCAGTCATTTCCCTGAGAAATTTCGGGACAATTGTCACTTCACGTGTTAACAGGCTTTCTACCTGGAAGAGGGCCGGCCCACAGCAGGAGTGGATGGCTAACAGGATGACTGAGTGAATGACACAACGCCAGCAAAGAGGGCCCAGGCTCCAAGGCTGTCAGGCTGCGGCAAGCCTGGTCCGCACAGGCTGCGAGGCTGATGTGCCAAGGACGTTGGATTCCGTAAATGACCATTGAGAGTGGATAGAAAATCTTCAGGCTCTCAAAGAGACACATAACGTCATCTTTTAAAATGAAGCAACCCATCTGCCTCATTTATTTTTCCCTAATCCTTTAGGGCATGGATTTCTTGAGGACAGGGATAGGGATTGATATTCATTTTATATCCCTAGCCCTCAGCTTATTACCTGGTCATGCATAATAAATGCATGGCAGACAAATAAGTAAATGATGTATTAGGTTTTTTTGTTTGTTTGTTTGTTTGTTTGTCGTGGGAGAGGCAGCAGTTAAATACATCTAGTAGTTCAAACCTGGATTCAGGTCCTAAACCACTTTTCAGCTATGTGAACTCAATGTTATATAGACTTAATCCTGTTAAATGCAGAAACAAGTAGTACCTACCTTATAAGGTTTCTGTCAGAATTAAACGAAGCGTTATATATAAAGTTTAGGCCAGGTTCTGTGGTGTGAAATGTCATCCCAGCTGCTCAGGAGACTGAAGCAAAGGATCACAAGTTTAAGGCAACAAGGTGAGATGCCATTTCAAAATAAAAACAGGGTGGGGGAGAAGTTAGGATAGTGCCTTCAATATTTAATTAATGCTTAATATTTTTAATCAATGTTCAATTAATGTTAGCTCTCATTATTGTCACCTTTGATTACAGTAGCTACTTTGAAGCATTCCTTATGGAAAAGTATAGGTGCTTTATGTCTCAGAGGGTCCGCAGCAGGCAGAGTTGAAAAGCTTGATGGGATTCTGATCATCAGCCAAGATGAGAACTGCTCTGTTTCTGTATGGATGAGATCACCCAGAATGTACTTAACTTTTGAGTTCCTTAGAAATGCAATGTGAGAATCTGAAAGGGCCCTTTAAGAGTTGGTAAATGCTGTGCTAACTTGTTGAAAGTCTTAAGGACTGCCACTTTTTCTTTCTCATCATACATAATTGTGACCATAGTTGCTTTCTATATGTCCTTGCTATAGTTTAGATGTTGAATGTCCCTAGGGTGATGCTTTTGGTAGAACCTTTGAGAGGTGGGGCCTAGTAGGAGGTTCTTAGGTCAGGGAGGGTATGCCCCCAAAGGGATTATGGGGCTGTGGCCCCTTCCTCTTCCTCTCTTTGCTCCTTTCATGATATAAGTGGTTTTGTTCCACCACCTTCCCTACCATGATGTGGACATGACAGGGTCCTTGTTCATTTGCATGAGTGAGGACAGGTGGGGCCAGAATCCACTTCCCCACAGGCCTAAAAGCAACAGGGTCAATAATTCATGGACTGAAATTTCCAATATTGTGAGGAATATAAAATTATGAGAAAACAAACCTTTTCTATTTATCAATTAATTGTCTTGGGCATTTTGTTATAGTGGTGGGAAGCTGACAAAAGTCCAGCATTGTAATAAGTGCTTCAAATGCATAATCTCATTTACTCTTCTATGAAAACTCAGGCTCCTAGAGCTCACACAGCTGTTAAGGAGCAGAGCCAGGATTTCAAAGCAGGCCCCTCCTTATCCTCTCCACCATGGTCTTCAAACCTGAGCTTTTATCACTAGAATCGCATGGAAGGGTTGTTGAGCACAGGTTGCCAGGCCCCCTCCAGAGGGTCTGATCCAATAGGCCATGAGAACTCAGAAGTCTAGAATTACAAGCTCCTCAACTCTCTCTCTTTGCTGTCTCCCCAGAAAGCACAGAAACTTTTTGCTATTCACTACAGGGAACAGAAGGAAAATAATCTTTAAATCTAGAGAAGTTACAGAGTCCTGTATTCCAGAGCTTGACTCCATTGTGGAAGTGACCACAAACCTGTGGAACCCCCATCTGCTTTTATGAAAGAGGATGTGGTTCCCATCTTCTCATCTGCTTTCTAACTCCTAAAACAAGGCAGTTTTCCTCTTGTCTACTTGGAAGCTCATTTTCCCAATATACACAGTCTGGAAAAGGAAGCAAACCCGTGGTTACACTTGAGTCTTAGGTAAGCAATTGCATTTTAGGATCTTTGTTTGATACACAGCACAGAGAGGACTGGCTGAGAGCTCCTTGGAGAGGGCATGTTTGGGGCGGAGGGAAAATCACAGCCCCATCCCTTGGCAGCCCCTGTGCCTTTCCTGCAGCTTGCTCTGTGCCAGGTTTCCAGAGCCTCAGCCGCCTGTGAAGCACAAAGGTGGGAGTTCCTGACCCTGAGATTAGGACCACATTCCAGGCGTCCCTAGTTAAAACACCGAAAGAAAACATTTTTTTTTTTTAAAAAAAAAGACAGTGTTATCCAAGGTCTTCCATTTCCACAGTGCACATGGTTAGGTACATCAAGTGCAAAATCTGATTAATTGGCCTGATTAAGAATTTCACAATTCCACTCAGACTTGTTTCTGTGGGAAAGCACACTAGAAACTCCAAACAGGTGATTTGCAAACATTCAGAACGCAATCTCTTTGCAAGGCAGGGACTTTTGTTCTAGAACAGCAAGACCGAGCATTTCCAAATGTGGGAACCAGAGATTAGAAAGTTGCAGGGCTTCAGTACTTCCTGTGATGCCAGCAGGATTGTCATTTCAATGGGAGCAAGGTTCCTTTTCAGGAAAATGTAATGCAATGTTGGCTGCACAGAGGAGGCTGCTGGGGAAGCAAGTTTATCTGAGACAGACGCTCTTGCTATTTTGGTGTTTGCTCGAGTCAGCCAAAAGTCCATACCAGTGATGTATCTGATCACATTCTTACTTCAAACTTTGGCCCCTGTAGATTCTATATCAAATTTTGACAGCTAGAAACCCATTAGCATTACTGTTCCCAAGAATTTTGGTAGCCTTATCTATAGCTAGTTTCCAACACTGATGTTTTCTTCCCAATCATCAAATTTTAAAAGCATTTCTTTGGAACTTCAGTTACTCCATGTTTAAAGTATGAGGCTGACTTATTTTTAAAATCTGGTAAGGGCCATGTATCAGCCAAATCATTCTCACTGCTGCTTGGTATAAAATAGTTGTCAAAACTATAGTGCAGAGGTCATTACAAGTTATTGCCTAATTAAGCGCATGCATAGAAAAAAAAGATCTGCTAGGTTTTATAATTGAATTACTAACAATGATTACCTTGAGGGAGAGGGAGGTGAATTTTCCATCTGTATTTCTTTTACTTTCTACTGTAAAAGTAAAATGTTGACCAAAGCAGTATTTTTACATTTTCCTATAATGCTAGCAAAGATTTTAACAAGGGCCACATGTTACTTTTGTGAGAAAGGAAAATAAGAAAATACTTTTTAAATGTATCACCTTCTTTATAAGATGGATTTTTTGACTTACATAGGAATATTATGTAGGCTTCCAGGGTAATTCATCAAACTCTACAACTGGATATCAAAGAGACAAAATTCTTGGAAAGCAAGGAAAGGAACAAGAAGCATTGTGTCATAAGAAGAGAAGTCTGGGCTGGCTGGAGAGCACACATGGTATTCTCTGTTTGCTGTCAGGCTTCTTGGATTCTTCCCAGTGTCTGCGCTGACTCCCCAGGGCTGTAGCTACTTTGAAGAGCACAATTACAATCAATACAGTGAAATATAAATGGTAAGCATGGCAGTAATTCCTTTGAGTGAGCCAAAGCTAGAGTTCCAAAGCCAGAGTCTCATTACTCACTTCCGGTATCTCATTACTTATCTTTTAGAATGCTATTCTGCAAGAGTCCTAGGCTGAATAATATGTCTGTCTTTATAACAGTCAATGAAAGTAGTGTTATAGATTCTTCCTTTCAATTTTTCTTTACTATGGAGTATATCTTCCCCAGCTCTTTCTATGCTCAGTTGAATTTTTACTGTTAATGATCATTCAGAAATCTTTTTGACAACTGTTATATTTCATAAGCCACTAGATATTTTCTGACAAAAGAATGAAGCATATAATTTCCTTTAGCTGCCTTCCTTTCTCTTGTGAGGGTCAAATATGATCACATAAGTTCAAGTATTTTGTAAACTATCACATATTCTGCCAATGGAAAGTGGTATTATTTTCACATTCTCTGTGCATCCCAATTGTAGAAAAACCCTACAAGATTCCTAAAAGTGAAGTATATTTCCATTTACACATTATCATGCACAAGCACGCGTATTACACCTAGGTTTACTCTTAAAATCTGGGATATCAACCAATTTATGACCAATTGTATCATTAAATGCCTATTATGTTATTTTATTAATTACCCTCCCCTAGTTGATGTATTAAGGATTGAGAACTATACGATGATTTATAAAACAGTTTCTACCACATGTATGATGAATGGGTGTCTACATCAACCAGTGAAACCTTCCTTGACCACATACTATGTTTAGGGCTGGGGACGTGGCTGAAGTAGCAGACCACCTGCCTTTCAAGCATGAAGCT